GATGCGCGCGCAGGTCTAACAGAGCGCAACAAATGGACGCCGCGGTCGAGGCCGCGGTTTTGTTTACAGACATCGATCCGCTCGATTTGGTGGAATATAACACAGCGGCGATCGCGCCACTCGACGATGAAGCAAGTTCGACCGGTCGAAGTAGGAGAACTTCCGGCTGGCACGAAGCGGATGTTTGTGCTTGTCGCCGAGCGGAGATGTAAATCCTCGAATTACCAATTTAAAAGGAGAGGCTACACGTACAATTAGTCCCCTCGGACGACGGCCGCGGAAACGCATGCATTTTAATGCACTTTGATGGGGGATTTGCATGGGACAGGGGAAGGACCTCTAAGTAATTCGCCTCCTCCTGGCGCTTCCCTTTGGCTTTCGAGGCCCGCCTTCGCGTCTCCGGAAGCGCTGCCGGAACCGCCCCGACCCCCGCCAGGGCCGAGTTGACAAGGTCGCGCCCCCGCGCGACACCTGCTTTTGCTTTCGACCTTCCCTCTCGGTCGGCTCGACGTTACCTGTGGCTTCGCCGCTGGAACCGGTGGTTTGCGGAAATCTCTCAAGTAACCAGATATTCGATCCGAGAAACCGATTCCCGTGATTAAGGAGCGACGCGATACGGAATTACGGTGATGTTTCCAGTACCTTAAGGTGATATGAAAGTGTTATATACATACGTAACAGAGTCAAAATATTTATAAAACTTTTCCACAAACTGGATGCACCGAATTATCTGAAACCTTAACACGTGATTACGGAGGTCCTAAGGAATAACGGGCTGCTCATGAAAGTTCTTTTTTCAAAAAAAAAAAATAATAATAAAACTTAGCACTTATCTCGGGCAAAAACCGAAAAAGATATTAATTTTTTCGAAGAATGACATTTTACGGGCAGCGCGTTCTTCGTTAGAACCTCCATAATGACGTGTTAATTTTAATTAAATAAAAAGAAAAATACGCGTCGCTTAGTTTTTAGTCTACTATAACATATTATAGAAGAAATCAAATCGGAGAGATCGACCTGGGATACCTTCCTTGTGAGTATACCATGTCCGCACGATTTGTCATCTCGAAATATTAGTCTCGGACGGCGCGGTATCCACTTTATCTTACGCGTCACACCCGAAATGCATATTTTAGTTTGATTGCTCTCACAATGACTCCAGTCGCTCTCTGTCGATGTTCGGGTGCATTCGGGTGCCAACAGGCAAAATTGCTTTCAGAAAAAACGTACACTCTTTAGATGTAAAAGTAACGGATTGTATTGAAGCTTGCTCGTAACGGGGACGTCGAGGCAGGTCACGTTTGCGATGTAAATTCGTTTCCCAGTTTAAAGCACCGCCTCATTCATATGCCCCCGCACATTCTTTAATATACCCCATACGTCAGAATAAAAACCCATTATTTAATTGTATTAACCCTTTTATTCATACGTTAGATCAATGCGGCACGCGTGTCGTTTATCGCCAGCGGAAAGGCAACACCTTGTCGTCGGACTGCAAGAAGTATCTTAATGTCTTTGGAAATCTATTACTCGCATTACCAAAGTCTTGTCGAAATCAGTTTGACCACTTGACGGTCCAAAAAGCACACGTTACGCGTCTTCCTTTGACACAACGAATTCACCCATAACCACCCTTCAAGTACTCCAAACGTAATGCCGCTACTAATTTAGTTACACAGTATATAAGTAATTGTAACACCTCCACTCGGGACGCGTTTTCCGACATCGAGCACGACCAGGTTTCCTAGCTGCCGGGGAGTGGAATCCGTACTTATATTTTCACGGAGCTTCCTCCTTGCTCGGGGATGTCTTTGTGTGTTTTTTTTTTCTTCTTTTCATCCACGTCTCCCTGTCCCACATCCCCCGATGCGTTAATCCACCCTGACGGAAACGACTGCGATATACGAGTGATCCGTCTGTCGTCGGCCCGTTGCCACAGTTACGACGACGAGTCGCGATGAGTCTTCCGACGAGAGGAGAAATATATTCCACGGGCCTTGAAGCATATTTTTAGTCGCCCCTTTACGGCGTCGCAACGCATCGCGTCACGCCGCGATGCCCTCCCACGCACTCTTGCGCGCTCTTTCCTGCATTACTCCCTAGCATCGGGCCTTGGGTTATTGGTGCCCCCCCCCCCCCTGAATTTACGTTATCTGTTTATACGTATACAAAACTTCGCAAACCCTTCTTATTCTTATCTTTTAATTTCCGCTAATCTCGTTTTAATCCACGCGGCTGTACTCATTTCGGTTATGGTAACACCATAGACCTTCGCTATTCCCATGAGATTCTCGAAAATAAAACCTGGCCAAAGTCATTTAAAGCTGGTTTTCAACTCATTGAACGAAGTGCATGAAAACCGCCCGTCTACTTGAAACACCGACATCACGTAGATAAATTTCTTCTCAATTGATATTCGTTTTATCCCAAATCTATGCGTACAACGCATGTAACAATCGGTATGCAGTATGTCAAAAATGGAGTAAGTGATGTTCACCTAACTTTAAATGCGTTCATAGCTACGGGGAAGTTTCTATTCCGCAACAATGGTATCTAAACGACCGGGGTGTTTTTGTACCGCCTATAAATTTGAGCAGGGCATTAAAAGGTTTAAGCCAGTCCTGCTTGCGCACAATCCCTTATTCTTCCCGTTCAGCCTTGTATGAACTAGTTTACGAGTACGAGGAAGAGGGTCCCCGTGAAAGTCATCGGGATAGAGAGCTTTGCTGTCTGAATGTGCTCTGCAATATCCATCGTGGGAATGTCCGAGTACTTTACCGTCACGCGAACGACCGGAGCCGTTCTCGACTCCGATGACAAAGGACCCTGGTACCTTGTACATTGTGTCGTGGAATTCGAATTTAAGTGACTTTTCGGCATTTGCTCTCTATTTTGCTTTGCTTCTGACTTTTTTTTAATTTTTCTCTACAATGGAATTGCTGAAGGTTTTGAATTTACCTAGGTGATTCGACTTCTTGTTTTGCATAGAAATATAATGCAAAAGGAGAATTTGCACTATATTTGTATTATACTACTAATAGAATGTTTCGTGATACCGTAAATGTGTATTATATTACGTATGTTAAATCTAACAAATGATTGGCTTGGTATAATAGACTACCGATTTAAAAAACTTGAAAATAAATTGTAATGTAATTTAAATAAGTCTTTGTAATTACTATAATCTTAATCCACTGTCCATTGAATCACAGTACTATTTTCTTTCCTACGCACTCACCGACATAAGTTTCACTTGAAACGCACGTGACAGCCACGCATCAATTTTATTTTACTTTGCCTTTTAGTGATAAGCGAAATCGGTCATGGTTTTGCATCCTTGGTTTTTGCAAGAAGAACAAGTTCATGATCTGATCATAATTACAAAACCAAAACGAAGACTTGAGTATGCAAGACCAAGACCAAGGCAATCATGATCTTGGTCTTGCATTTGCTTATTGGTATTGTCTTCCACTAGAAACTTATTAAAAAGAAAATTGGGAAGATCGAGCGGATACCATTAATTTGATAAGCCGTGCTGCGATTAGAAGTTAATGATGCCGTTTCGTTTCATCGTTTTGAACATTGTTACACGAGTGATGCGGACAACTAAAGAAAGGGGTACTGTTAACTGGCTTTTAATTCGATAACAAAAAGGCATGCTCGATTTCACCGACAATGGGCGCAGATACCGTCGTTTCAAAGACGAACGTTACGAAACGGAACGAAATCGGATAAGAGCGAAAGACTACTTTGTTCCAGTAACGTTGTGCCGAAACGAAAGTGAAAACGTTAATCGAGAATATCGCTCCTGAGAATCGTAAACTAAATCGTAGAATGAAAGTAAAAACAAGATACGAGAGCTGCGGTATTTAGAACAAATCTCTGGATAGAACTCGTAATCGCATTCGTGGACTTCAATACATAGAGTTTCACTTATTTTACTTGAAAAATGTCCATATGTAGGTTTCATTTTTCTGTCAATTTTTACCAGAAAGTATAAAGATTGCTAATTAGTTTGGTTTACTTGTTATACGGGAATTCATCTAATTTGTGATATTCGACTGTTTGTAGAATGTAAAATGATAGTGAAATACTTTTTATCTTGGATTTTTATAGCAATAATGTTCTGTTTCTAAAATTATTGATATACTTCTAATTCCGGAGGAAAGAAGAGTCACACTAGATAGCTGATACAAAATCTATAAAATATCGATAAAGGCAATTATTTAAAAAGTTTTCAATTTATCTTTAAATGTTGGAATATTATGTTTCGTTAAGGTTTACATAAACCCCTAATGTTATCGAGCGCATTAAAAACCGAGCATAACATGATGCCGGTTAAAATCACATTTTCCAACGAAACGTCAGTTTTTCTAAACTCAACGCGAACACCGTCATTTCCAAATTTCCCGCTTTTCATGTTTTTAACAAATTACGGGTTTGTCATCTAATCCGGTACCACCTTTTGATAATCTCCAGTCATTTACAGCGATTTTCCCCAATGTTACGATTAAACGTTTCATTTTAAGGGACCGTCGAATTACCGTTTTTCATTACCAAAAGTGACAACACATGCTGGAGGAGATTTTGACTTCTTCTTTCTTGCCCAGGATTTACGACAAGTCAACGCCGCGCCGTTGGTTTACTGACGGCCCAGATTCTATTAAGTTTCGTCTATGTCGAATTCACCCCAGAGGTGTTATAGACATTAGCGCCTACTCCACGAATAGAAACGTCGATCCTACCGAATAGAACCCTCGTAGAACCGTACTTACCTTTTGTCATTCCAGCTCTATCTCTCCCTTCCTTCCCTCTCTTTCTCTCATTCAAACCGCTTTACCTCGGACCCTTGCTCGTGACAAGCTGACGTTACCCCTGTAACAGCTGCCCGATCCACCCCTCTAGCGTTAATTGTTATTACCGAGAAAATTTTCCCCGACAACTGCGTTAACGATTGTCCGATAACTTACACTGTTAAAATCGTGTTTTCCCTGTTGCAGGAAGGGAGGCCCTATCGGTTAACAAAGATGGACCACGAGCCGGTGACAAAGTGGCACAGTTAAGGTAAAGAATGGCTTTCGTCGAGTATTCATGACTAGTTGGATAGCTCTTTTAGTGTCACATAATAATGTGACACTCTATGAAGAGGGAAGAACGGATTGTTATTTAAATGTTAACAACCGCGGGAGGCTCACCGATTAAATCCCGGTCTATGGGTGGCTTGATTGATTACAGAATATGGAAATGTTCTTGTCTGGTTGAAATCCGGAAGGGCGATTTTTCAACAATTTTGTAGCGTGGGTGCACTAGAATCTGCGATTGTTAATATTCAATGTAATCACTCAGGTTGGTCGTCTTCGATGGATATGATCGATGAATGATCTTTGAAACCTGTAGGGGGATGTTTATCCGTATCGGTAACAACGAGAATTCCTTCGGACCTCCACGGATCTTTCAGGGGTTCCTTTGAAAGGGAGAGACACTGTTTAAAATATATTATACAACGTTTTAAATATATTTAAAATCAAAATCACACGTTTTGCTCCTATAATGAAATAGCGGAACAAAAATATTACCGAATTTACTCGTGTTTTTTGATACAAAATGATGTGTCCGATAATAGTCGTGAAGTAAAAAATGTATTTTTATTACATGTTCATAAATTAAAAAATATAATTTCTATATGTGTTTATAAATTATTGAAACTAAATATGTCATTGAGATTTTCAACAAATATTTCTCTCGATCGATCANATATGTGTTTATAAATTATTGAAACTAAATGTCATTGAGATTTTCAACAAATCTTTTAAGAAATCTACAAGAAATCTTAAAAAAATCTGTCGCTTGAGATATTTAGTAAAGATTACAAACAAATATTTAGGAATTGTTCTATGTTACTAGGGATTTATCGACTTTTGTGTCCCTTATGTCGAAGTTGCATTATTATACGTGTTATCGGAGTTTCACATCAATTAAGATGATTTGTAGAAAGATTAAGTCACGCTTGATGTAAAGGATGAAAATATGAAGGCACGGAGAAAAGTCTTTGCGAAATGTTTCTAGGGAGTTTTGTAAGAAAAAGGGAATAAATTCCCGTCGCAAGCGAAGTCTAGAGAGTCGAATTGTGGAAAATACTCTCAAGGATTCGAGACCCTCTTGACATTCGGCCAAAAAGAAATCGTGCCGAAAGAAAAGGAAAGTCGTTGATTCTAAAGCATTTGTTCAAAATGAAACTGCTCGACGTAAATGTACTCCGCATTGTGTCGAACGGTATTGTATCAAGGAGAGAGCTCCGCTTAAATGATTCTCTTTGTTCGCTCATTTAGGAGGGACTTTCGGGATAACGAGACTGTATCCAAGTGGGGATCTCGAATATATTCCAGTCATCGATAATTCGTTTTGGGAATTCTGAACGAGTCATTGTAAAGATGCTTCCGTATGCCGTATCGCACCTATCACTTGTTCGTAAGGACTTGGAAATACGTTTTGAAAATGGCCCAAGAGTTCTAGCTCGACCCGGAAAGGTTATTAATTTTGAATCCTCGTTCATTTCGAGTTGACCTTTGCTGGGGGTATTCATTAAGGGCGCTCACCACTCCAGCGATTTTGCAGAGCCTCACGGGGACAACGATTTTGAACGTATTTCTAAACCGATTGAGCTCTCAACGAGTACTCATATTCAAGATGAAATGTTGACCTGTGTTTATATGGGAGCGATTTACGTTAAGTTGGAGAAAAGTTTTATAAACATTTTGACTTTTTGGTATGTACCTATATATGACACTTTCATATCACCTTAACATTCCATTTCCATGATGAACGGAAATAAAGAAGAAAGTGTAAAATGAATGCACCTCCCTGATATCGCAAGGGCAAAAACCATCCAGGGAAAACTAGTCGTAAAAGATTTCTGCAAATTGAAATAGAAATCGTCGCGGGGCTCTCCGGAGTGCTCGAGGGTGTTTACGTTTGCGCGCCGTTTATTCGGGGGTTTACTTCGTTTTCTTGGATTCCAAGGACGATCTCGATGGCGAGAGGTCGGCGGAGTGAAATTGAAGAAGCTCTCGCTCGCGAAACGGAGATGGAACGTGCCGTGAGACGTGTGTGCATATCTTGGCGAGTCTCACGGGTCAGATGGCGGCCTTGACTCGAGTCCCCTTGTAGTCGGCATCTCCAGGGATCCTGACTCACTTAGGTTACCCTTGCTCAAATCCGGTCCTTTGTATGACGAGGCGTTTCTTCGGTCACGGCAATCGCCCTCGAGATCGTGAAACGAAACAAAACCCTTTCGGAGATTTGGAGCGAGAGAGGTTCCGAGCGGAGTCTTTTAGGTTAGTTTCGTCGACGGTGGAGGCGCTGTTCGCTGGCATCGATCTCGAAAACTTTTTCACCCTCGTCAGGGCCTCGAGGTCAAACGACGACGATTATCACTTTTTATCTCGTCGTTAGTCTTTTCGAAATAAAAATGCAACTCTACTTATTATCAACTTATTTACTTGTTTTACCACAAATCGTAAATACTCGAGTAGTCCCGATTGCACGGATCAGATATTGTTTTGCAAGGTATCGTTTTTCTACATTTAAGAATTTAGTTTCGCGTGCACATTGATCGTTCGGTGGGACAAAGAAACGATATAAGTACCGCTTGGTCTCGTAAGATCCTGGATATCACAGGTGGTAACTTTTGCGAAACCTAATGCGAAAGTTCACGGAAGCGAGGTTTCGATCAGCTAGTTTCTCTTGCCCAGTTTCTCCGATTATTTCTGCCAATTATAATAGATCTCTTATTTACTCCTCTGTGCCCCTTTCCATACATATGTGAAACTTAACGGTGACTCTCTCAATAGAGCGATTGTCAGTTAATTCTATTCGTTTTTTAAAAGTTATTTCACACAATAGTATGAAGACATTTAGGTAATAATATCACTTGGCCCTTTTCAAACGCAATCTAACCCGGAAGAATAACGCGTAAATTCGGTTAAAAATATTTACTGAACGTTAAGATACATTAAACATGGCCAATAACATTTTTCGTAATGCTTCAACCTAAATACCTGAAACTATTGAATAGAAATAAAAATCGATTATCGATGACATGAACTGTCGAACAAGGTGAGGGCCTCTACCACTGATATGGATACTAGCTGGATAGCTGATATCCTACAAAATGGCGTGAGGTTTTGAAGCGACCAAAGCCACATAACTAATAACAAAAAGAGTTCAGGTCTTTCACAAAAATACGATATGTATATTGTGAAAAATATAACAACTCTTTTGCGAGTCTTCTCCGAAATCATGCAATTTTTATGCCTTTTCATTCTTTTTTTACGTCAATACTCGTGACGAGATAGGCAATCGAGGCAATCATTTTGGATGCCCCATCCAGTATATCACGATCATCTTGATATACGGGAAGACTTTTCGGGAAGGGGGATTATATTCGTTAACGCGACGGGGTGCCGCCAAAGGTCGACTCCTTCTCCGACTTGTTAACTGCGAACACCCTCGACAACTCTATTAGTTATTAGTCGATCGGAGACTACTTCCAATCAGTGCAGGCTCTGCCACTCGTGGAGCTGCGAAACTCTCCTTCTGAACGCGTTCTCTCGGGGCCATCTCTCCCTGACTACGATCCGACTTCGTATCGAACTTGCCGTATGTATACGTAAGCGGGGTTAGCGTCTTAATTAATAAGCTCGAGCTCCTGTGGCGTCGAAACTTTAATCGAGAACGCGTCGAGGACATCACTGCTCACCGCGGTGTTTGCTCGACTTCACGGGCACCTATGCAAATCATTAGCGGAATCGCTTTGCGATGCGATCGACTCGATTATTCTGGTATTTGAGCATAATGGGAATAATCCGATCGGCTAACGAACATTCATCTAACGTGTGGGCACGTTTGCCATATATTTTTATAATACGTTAGGGTTAAGTACGGGATAGACGCCTACGTTTTTAACGTATACTTCTGAAGTCGTTATCTGTTTTCGTTTTAAAAAAATTTCATGTTTACATCATACCGGAGTATTTTATCTTCATTATATTCTATAATTATTTGTCTAGGATCAATAGTTGTTATAATAGAGCAAAAATATGAAAGGTGTCGATTTGGGCATCTATCCCTCTCGGGGAGGAGGGAGAATTAATGATAGCATAATCAATTTGTTCGAAAAATCGTATTTTTAATCTTAGCAGAGTTAGCAAAAACAGTGTTCAAGTTCTCTTTGAAATTATAAAAATTGAGAAAAATAGTTTTTAATGGCTAACGTGGGTACAAGCGTCCTTCAGTTTACGCCCAGTGTCCGTAGATTCATTTTACGCGAATGAAAATTGCGTAAAGTTTGTCAATGCGAAAGAATTAATATTGGAAATAAAAACTAGGACATATAAGTTTTAGAAATACCTATATATTTATATATGCATAACAGAAAAAAGATAATGACGTAAAGTTAGGTCATTATTATGTGTAATATAACAAGCTCGTGTAGCATTTCCGTTATTAAGTAAATAAACGACATAAACAATGGTAACGTAATTTTTGGAGATCTCTTAACGAGCCGGAGCGGCGCTCACGTTCTGGGCTAACGAGTCGAGGAGTCAAAAAGCGGCGATCACTTCGTTAGACCGGCTACTCGATTAGAGGAGCGTTTTGTAAGTTGGCAACTTTCTTGTCTGCCGGATGGAAGGAAACACTTGGCGGAAACTCCGGTGCTAGAAGGAAACTCCTCGAGTTGAAAAGGGAGGCGCGGGGCTCTCGCGATCGGCGCTTCGGCAAACCAGGTGTACACGCGAGTGGGGTTACCGTCCTGATGGGGGTGTACGCGAGTTTCGCTATTGGCTGCGAAACTTTAATTGAGAGCACTCCCCGGTAATACCTCTGTTTACCTCCGGCTCTCGCGAAGGATCCCCCGGGATAGACGCACCTCTGATGCCCCTGCCGGGGTACCTTCCACCCGGGGATAATGGATGCCGGTCCAAGAGCTCGCCGATAGGGAAGTTTTTATGTAAATTGCATTCGTTCCGGCCCGATGGGAATTTCAGATCCTCCCGGGGGGACGG